TATATATATATATATATATATATATATATATATATTATAAAAGTTGCATACTGTAGCTTTAAGATCTTACAATGTGGTAGAGGCATACGTTCAGAATCATTTCCTTTTACAAACTGAACAGGATTGATGAAGAAGAATGCATTTAGGTTTTGCTGAGGAGAGAAAACAGATCTGAACATGAGTATATGATGCTTTACACTAATGTCTTTTGCTCAGAAACTGTTATTCATCTTGCAGCAGGAGTTCGGATGTGTTTTTCATGTTTCAATTTGCAGCCATACCTCTGTCTCAGAGAAGGAGCTGTGAGGTGATCTGTTACTGGGCATAAATCAGATTTTATCTGTGAGGTACTGTAGACGAGGTGTCATGATTGATGCAGCAGCCCCGCGCAGTGTGCGTGCAATCTGCTGGCACTTGTGAGAGAAAGCTTTTTCATTTACAAAAAAGAAAAACCCACAACCACGCTGCAAAATCAGCAACATGTGTGTCAAATGATGGGCTGTGTAGAAGAAGAAGAAAAAGGAGGAAACAAAGGTGGGGAGAGCGATCAGCCTGTTTTCTACTTTAAAAGAGACATACTCCATGGAAACACAAATGTCTACCCCACAGATGAAAAGCTTGCTATTTCATGGTCACTTTGTTTCCCTTAGCACCTTTGTGCTTGCATGCATGAGTGAGGCAACACAGGGCCAATCTTAAACAAAGCTTGTTTAAATCAGCTCATTTCAGATGGTGCAAGTTGATAGAACGAGAGCAGCTTTCAGAAACCGTAGAGCAGTTCCCATCTGCTAAGCCAATGGAAACAGGAATTGAGCTGGTTTGCTATTTGAAAATTGTTGTCAGTTTTGCTGATGTTAACCTAAAGTAATCTGGCAACATGTTGTCCAGCAAGTAGTCAAAGACACCCTCTAATAGACGAGGGTAAGTTACAAAAGGCTTCTGCTGAGCAAGTTGTTTATACAGCTCTGAAAGATACAAAATTGTGAAAAGGGGGAAGATTTTTTTGTCTCCTATTTCAGAAAGTGAAACTCGTAGTTGTACAGATGCATTACACATTGGCTGAACTATTTCAGTATCAGAAAAAGTAGAATATTAATATCAGGATTAAAAAAATTAAGTAGCAGACAAAGTTCTTAGAAGGAAACATTTCCAGTCTAAGTCTTTTCTTGCATGAGGGTCAGTTGAAAATTTGTTAGAATCCATTGCATCAAAAATACATTTTGTTTTCCTACGTAACACATTACAAATGTTATTATTTTATTGTCAAATTACTTTCTAAGCAAGTGAAACGAAAGGTCCAATAACCAGCTCAGCCTTTTTTTTTTCAGCTACTGACAAATTTAAAGACATGGCTAGAGAGAGAAAAAAGAAGGTTGAGCATCTGAAATCCCTCCTCAGCCAAGAATGGGAAAATATTTTGTTTTTAAGTCTACAGCAATCGACCCCTTCAGTTCCCAAATGTCTACAGACTGAAAGGAGGGGTGATGCAACACAGAGGTAAATATAAACCTGTTAAAAGTTTCATGACATTCTGCCACATCAGGCTTCAATGAAGTAATGACTTGGTTTTAACCACTAACAGAACAGGTACTTTTCCTAACGCTTTGAACAGAGGCAGATTTTGCTCTGGGTCTTTTGCAGTGGACAGGATAAGAAAAAGGGGAGTCCACAGGCAACAGATTAAAATTTATTATTTACTTGTCAGTTGCCCCTTCAACAAGTTTTCTATTGCTTTTACACACGGGGAATTGGCGGCACAAGCATGCTGCTAAGAAAAGGGAGAGTATTTTGCAATCTTTGTGCAGGACTGCTCTGTAATTTCGCTCAACCCAAAATTTTGATGATTTCCTGAATTTTAATTAGTTAGGGTGGTCGCAAAAGAAAGGTCTCACCCAGAGCGGCAATTATGCGAGGACCATTAATGGCTGTGAAAATTTCCTTGAAGACTTGGCCGGATAATCAACATTAACTGAAAATGTCAAAGCGTTAAGAAAAGTAAGGGGGGAAAATATATATATAAAAGACATTTATAAATTAGTTAGTGCTGAGGTAATTTGACTGTCCAATTTCAATTAATTTAGGCCATAATTGGCTGCCGAGATAACTTTTGGTCCACCTATTTAGTCAATAATGTTAATTTAACCTACTAAGAGGCTTAATTTGCTTAATTAAGAACACTATAGTACATGATTTCTGGCATTCATTAAATAACTTAATGGTGGTTTTTATGTTAATAGATGCAGGGGTCATTTTTCCCAGCCCTGTTTGCAAAACCGTGAACCGTGGTGTGTCACTTGGCAAATGAAAATACCTATTCAGAAAGCATGCATGCCTAAATGTCAGCTACACAATGCTGTATTGTTTGACACCTGCCTGTGGTGCCCCCACAGCATGGCTCGTAGCATCAGGCAGCCTCTGTTTCCTCTGCAGCAGAGCAGTTATGGAGACAGAGACGGAGCACCTGCCCTCATGCCTGAGCGCTGTTCCCAGCAGCTTGCTAATGTCAACCTGCCTGATACGCGCAGCAGGGTGGGGGCTCCAAGACAGCAGCAATTTTCCGCTGCATGCGAATGAGACTGGAGAGCAATCTGCCGGCCTAAGAGCCTCATAATCAGCACATCATTATCAGTAGGGGTTGGAACATGAGGTGCAAGTAGGTTGAGGAGAGAGGAAATAAAAGGAGAGAGCGGGGAATGGCACCAAATGAGCTCCTGTTGACATTGAGAAGTTGGAAGACGCTGGGGTGGGAGGGACATTTGAGTAAAAGGACATCTGAACAATCTCACAGCGTGGAGGTAAGAAGAGAATACCGCCCCTGTTTACACATGAGAAGCAACGGCAGACTTTATTTAGCTTGTGGTAGCTCAGATGTTCCCTGTTAGTCTGCGTTACTGCTGGTCTTTTAACTCGCAGGATCTAATGGCAGACGTACAGATACGCTGTGACAGCTCTTTGAAGCTTACCTTCCCCGCATGCATTTTTCAGCGAGTTCAAAAGGAGCAAGGACAACAAAGCTGGTATCACAGCTCGCATGTACCCTCGCCTGTATTTCCGAAGTGCCCAGGATTTTCTGTGTACTCAAACATGCCTTTAATCCTTTTGTCTGATGAGAGAAGAAACATTTTAGGGGTGGGGGGAGCAGTGTTTCGCAGTCCTTCTTGATCTCAGGCTGCTTCCTGAATCACATCCGATTGCTCAGGTGCACTCTGTCTACCCTGGTTTGTGCAGCTTATGACATAGAGCCACATTGAACGGCAACCAACGCAAAAATAAATGTATTTACATGACAGAAATAGCACTGACTTTTGGAGCCCGTGTGACCCAGTTCATGATTTCTTCAACACTAGGCAGGAGGGGGGGGCAACAAACGTGTTTGGACAGATTTAGTTGTCATCAGGTTGTTTTTGTAATCCAGGCTTTTTGGTTTTAGTGTGTCAACAATCAATCACAGCTGTCCAAATGGATGTTTTCTTCTACTTTCTACCACGTGGTGGCAATAGTGCACAGAGCTCTCGGGCTTGACATTACTTGTCTCAGATTGTGCGTGGCTGACACAGTCTATATGGTGCTCAATTCATAAAAGGGGGGTTGTATTGTAAATTGTCTCTTTAAATCCCAAAAAGAAAAAAAGAAAATGTATTTGACCAGGTTCACCAGCGCGCGCGCTCACACACCAGAGAGAGCTAAAGGCATTGAATTTGTCACTGTTTTATTACTTAGACTTTCGCCCTCAGCTCCATATGAAAACAAACTGTTATCTGTCAAACTTTTGGCCGGCATATCGCTTCTCCTCATCTCTCTTTTTTTTCGTGAATTATATTTCTGCTATTAATCTAGAGTTTATTCAGGGCAGTAGAGACATGATGTCGATACCCGGTCTCAAATACTTGACAGCCGGGCAAATTCAATTGGACTGACTCCGCCTTGCTCATGCGGGACTTGTCCGTAGGATTTTTTTTCCTCCCTTTCTTTCTTTTTTTCTTTTTTTCTTTTCTTTTTTTTGTCATTCCTCCGCGTGCCAGTCTGCGTGCCCCGCGCTCTCCGGCGGACTCTGTTCTCCACGCTCCCCTCCGGTCACTCACCCCCCATCAGCACCGAAGAGCATTCTGACGCACAGGACCAGTGGCAGCAGCGGCGGCAGACGGAACAGGAGCAGCAGGAGGAGCAGCAGCAGCAGCAGCAGTCAGGACACTTTTAAGGGGAGTCTGTGGCAATCACCGAGCAACATGTTCCCGGCGGGGAGACGGGAAATCCGCAGCTGGGGCTCGACGGTACCGCCGCGGAGCATGTTTGGACCTGGGCTGGATGGACAGGTGTGGATGTCCTTTTGGATTCTGCTCTTGTCGACTTGTATCCCAAGCGCTCAGGCTCAAGGTAAGATCCATAACTCAGTTTTATTGTACTTATAGAAAAACAATAAAAGTGTGATAAAAACGAATTAATACAACGCGACTATTATGAGGCACATAAAAACAGCCCACAAACTATATTTGGCTTTAGAAATGCTGTATGAAAGCTCAGGTCAGGAATAAAAGAAAGAAAGAAAAAAAAAAGGTAAATATGGATTTAAAGTGAAATTAAGTGTCAGTTGTGCGCATAGTGTCACAAAACCACAACCTGAGGGAGAAAAAGACCTTTTATTGTTAAAATTACTGTTGTCATCGCAAGCAGTTTGGGTTGTTTCTGCATCTCTCCAAATGCATGCATTCAGATCTATTCGGTATTTGCATATTCCAGATTGGCTACTTTACTGCATCTTAAAAACCATTTGGATTATTTCACTGGTCCCCTTGACCTGTTGTGAAATATGTGAACGAGTTCTCTGGTGATGGAAAGCTCTGACAGTTTCACTGCTGCTGCAGATTAAGCTGCCCCTCTTTTGACTCCCCCTTTAAATATTCTAGCAGAGATCATTAACTTGCATGGTTATGACTACAGTGTGGAAACATTAAAAGGGAGCAGTTGTTTCGGGATTCTGAAGCACTGGTTCACTGGAGAATGTGTCTTGCAGAATCCATAAATCACAGCGAGCTGGTTCCATTTAATGTCCAGCTCGCCCAGAGACATGAACAACACTAATCATACGGTTACTATGGAACTGTGACTCCTTGCTTGTCATTTATCAGCTGCTAACTCTTTGGCCAGTGAGAACCTAATGAGATCTGCTAAATAAAGGCAGAAAGCCGTGGAGAACAAGTATGACCTGCCGTCATATTTCATGAGTGGAAAAACTGTAACTGCTGGTTGTCACGAGAAGTGAAGGTAAGTTAACGCAGGAATAAGCGCAGTTTGTGGAAATGCTGAAACACAAATCTTCCTTTCTGCTTCGTCCCAATCTATTTCAGTAACTTCCTATTTGGTTCTCCTTTGCAATGCCAGGGCCTTTACTGATGAAGTAAAAAAAATATGTCTTCGACGCACCAGACTATCAAGCATTTCTTGGAGGTCCCAGGAAAAAGAAAAAAAAAATGTCTTCTTCAGATATTGATTCATTTGAGAGGTGCCTTCTCTATGCATTTCCCATTTCACAATCGCACTGCTCGGTACACCGGAGTGCTAAAAGCAGCATAATCCCTGCACTTGTTTGCCTTTGAACAACTTACGTTGCTCTAAAGTGCTCCCAACCTTATCTGAGAAGAGTCTCTGGTGTCTCTTATTATGCAAGGCACAGTTCCTCTAGCTGTTATTAGCATCCCTTTCTCAAGCCAACAAGCCTGAAGTATGTGTGTGTGGATGTATTGAGCGCCACCGGGCTACTTCACTGGGATTTTACCTTTCCTCCTTGAAACAGAACCATTTTTTATCCCTGCAGTTCCTATTCTGTTCTTGTGAGCATTTCTGGTTGTGCATTAGCATTGGTGAGAGGTCCAATCCTTTCGTCTGTGTCCTCTTTCATTTGAGAAGGGCCTCCTCTATGATGCATTGTCTATACTGTTCGGTCTTCGATGGGGATGCTGTTGTACCCGTTGCAGACAGGGTTGGGGGGGTGGTCCTCTCAGCATCCAAAGACACCTTGTTCCTCTGAAGTAGAACACAGCTCTTATCCTCAAGGGGGGATCTTTGTTTGCAAATGAGCGGCATAAAAGCAGTGTCTGTACAGAAAGTTAGAGATGCTGTAGTTATTCCCTGAGAGACAAAGACCTCTGAGGATGACAGAAATTAGGCGGCACATAGCCACCTCCAGGGAACAGGTGCGATGTAGCCGCTTGTTTTTCAGCAGGTTCATATTGAGACACCTGCTGTTTTTAATACAGATGGCTCTTCGATTGCACAAGAGGATATGTGGCTGATCCACAGGAGGAACCTTTCTGCTGGTTTTACTCAACAAGCCATTTTAAGACTCATGCAGATCCCGTAATCAAAATGCCTGGTAAATAAATGTGAGGTTCTGCTTTTATTTTTCTCTTAGCTGCCTTTGTGTTGTCTCTTTTTCTCTCTCTTCCTCAATAAGACTGTAGAGATTGATGTGTGTTTGTGAGTGACTGTGTGTCTGCTTGCATTTTTGTTGTGTGTAAAAGTGTGTGTGTGCACAGTTGCCTGTGCTTATGTTCCTGTCTATTGAGCTTTAATCTAGATAGCAGCATTGACATTCTGCCAACCGACAGCTGCTATAATTTTCTGGACGTACGTTATTATGCAGCTTGACAGCTGTCAGCCATTTCCAAATCTTTAAATCTTATGATAATCCTCAGTGCTTACACACAAAAAAAAAACATTTGTTTAAAACACTCTGAATCTGTGTGTGATTAAAGCTGCCTGCTCTAATGCGGGCCTGCACATCATAATTCATCCCCATTGGTGACACACAAGCAAGCACATGCACTTGCAGGCGCATCCACAGATAGATAGAAAAATCAATATGTACAAGATTACACAAAACAAGTATATTACAGTTTTAATAGAATTACAGATGTCCTTTCCTATAAAGACTGCTGGCAAACCTGTTAACCTCCACCTGCATGCGCAACTGTAAAAGAAATTTAATATGTTAATACTCTAGTAGATCTGCATATTCGCACTAAGGTCACATACTTTTAGTGCTAAATCTGCTGTAACTGTGTTGTCCGTAACAAACGGTGACAGGAATATTCATTTAACTTTAAAACTGGGCAAGTGCTGACACAGAGAAGTGGAGGTGTTACACGTGTTTTAACAATGTCATGTCACAGCTATTCTCTGTGCATTTATATTTACGTATAAATAGTTTGGTAGAAGGCCGTTAACTAAACATGTTGCCAGAGAGAGAGAGAGAGAGAACAGCTGGTGAAAAATGTGACTTTTTCTTTGCAATATGGCTCTTGCCTGAAAAAGCCCCAGAAGTGACTCACCTAGCATCAGGAGTTTCTCTTTCCAGATTCTGACAAGTTTTACTTGTTAATCTGGAGCGTTTTAAACGAAGGCAACTGGACTCATCTTGGTAGAAGTCCAGTTGCCTTCATTTAAAACTCAATTTTAATCATGTCCTGGATGACTGAAAGTCTACACCAGGGTTTATCCAAACTTGGTATTCAAGGAACGGTATCCTGCATGTTCTTTCTCTGGTTCAACACACCTGAATCAAACTCCGACTCACGAGCCGGCCTCTCCAGAACATTGACATGCTGAGGAGGCATTCACTGCCAGTGATTTTAACCAGGGAAGGAACTTAAACATGTAGGATACCATTCCCTGAAGACTGACTTTGGACACCCCTGATTAGTCCAGTTTTTTTCTTGAATGCATCATATAAGTGCACCTGCTAATGAAACCCCTAACCTCCAAGTGACTGTATAAGGACTCATACGATTTCTACAGGGAGCTTGTTCTCGACTTTAGCATGTTTTCTCTATACCTTTAATGTTTACAGTATTGAAAAAAACTGACATAAAACTTTTGGTCAACGTTTCTTTCTTTATCATCACCGTGGTTGAGGAAAAAACTTATAATGCCGACTCTTTGCTTTCTTTTTAAAGTTAAAGCGAAGCTAAATATATAATTTCACACTTAAGTTCCGCCAATTAACATTCTGCATATGTTCAGGTTTAAAATAATTCTATAGTCATTCAGTATGGGAGCGTATTGAAACAAAATGGTTGTGCCAAGTATTCTCAACAGAAATATATGTACCACTAACATCCCTTTTATACACTGTTATTTTTTATTTTGATACATGTACAAACAGAAAACTTAGGTTAGTGTTTTGACAGTTGCTGTCTATTATTTTGCATATGACAAAGACATTAGCAATTCATTATTAAATTCTGTTCCATTAACAAAGAGCAGAATGTCCACACTAATACCAAATTACTTAACGATTAATCATCAGTTCGTAAGGTGATGAAATGATTGTGTTAATGTAATCTTGTCTACTAATCCTAACTTGGTACTGTGCAAGTGTTGTGTTGAACTGTTTTTGTGCCAGAGATATACCTGTTGCCTATTTTGACACGCTTATGTATCAGTGTTCAGTAAAACTGAGTTATGTTCACCGGAGAGAAATCGTCAACTTAATAACTTTATTTCTGTGTAATATGGTTTATGTCAAGAAGATCTATCTTCTCTTTCAACCTTAATTTCCCTTTCCCTACTTAATTAAGAAAATCACACCCATTTCATTATACTGCCACCACCATGTTTCACTGTGGCAGTGGTTGAATACAACGTAATCTACTGTGTTAGTTGTCCGTTATATATTTGGGTGATATGTATATTCACTCAGCCACGAGTAGTTGGCTAGATACAGAGAAATAATGACATCTCTACGGAAACTGGAATTCTATTTTTTTTTTCTAATCTGATGAGCTTTGACAACTCCACACATCCCATCACAGTACTGTGCGAGTGCCGTACTCCAAAGCCATCATACATCAGCTATACTTTGTTCATATTTATGACATAGTTTCGTATTTCAGTGCTCAGTAAAATGCAGTCAGTGAAGCATATTCGCCAGAGAGAGAACAGCCGCTAAAAATTTGGACTTAAATGCTTGTTTTCTTTGCAATATGGCTCATGCCAGGAAAGCCCAGCAAGTGGTTTGCCCAGCCTCAGGTGAAATGGTGTCAGCTTCCCTATCAGACTCCCTATGTGTCTTCTGTGGCTGCCTCCCATATTTGGTTGGTTGGCTGAGATTTTTTTTTCCTCTCTCCTTCCTTTTGCTGCCAAATGCTGTCTACACATGTTTATTCATGCTGCCACAGGAAACCTTATCCTGCAAGAGGCAACATCTCACAGCTCAAGTAAGAAAAAGTCTGCTCGCTGGCAGTAGCAATTAAAGAAAATTAATGAAAAAGCCAACATTCTTTTTTGTAACACTGTCTTTCCTTTTGTTTGGAAAATCTAAATGCTCCGAAAGGTTTTTAGGAGTGACAAATGATTGCAATCAACCTCATTGTGCAAGAACAAAAGAGCTGTTTTGATGTCAGTGTTCCTTTTTTTAGCTTCAGGAAGTCTTTAATTGGCTCAGTTGAGCAGTAAAACTGTGTTTATAGTTCATAATGCAAATGTAATCAAAATTAACTGCAGGGTTTTGGCATTCTCCCTTTGCTTAGTAATTGCCATTTGCCCAAAAGGCAGTGGTAATAGCTGTTTGCACAGGGCAACGAGTCCTATCACGTCTGCGGATTTGGGTAACTATTGCTAAAATCCTTGCTTACTCTGAAGAACGCACTTTTTTCTTTTTTTCTTTTTTTTTGATCTGTTGATATTAGGCATCATTTAAACATTTGTTGTGAGTTGTTTGTTGAAGTTGTCGCAAAAGAATGGTAAAAGCATAGGAAACAACAAAATCAGGCTATTCAGACAGATTCCTTATACCTGTAGAGAGCAGCATTGGTGTACGAAGTCAAAAAATACCGTTCAAAAAAGGCCCCCCCAGATTTTTTTTTTTTTTTTTTTTTTCAGTAATAACAACATTGATTGTCAAGCAATTTCTTCTTTTGGGGCCGATTTTAATCACATAGCCCGCGAGTGGTTTTGTTTCCATATCTACTTGTTTACTGATGAGACTGAGGGGGAGAGGCGCTGCAGGGGGGAACAGGGAAATTCTTCACATATTAATTCTCCTGGCTAAACGTCTAATCAATCCAACGCAGGGCTTGGAGGCACCTCAGCTATCAAGAAATAAAAAATGTCTCAGAAGAGGCCTTGAGCTGAGCTAGAAACTGAAAGCAGAAAATGACCTTGGACACCGCATGGAGGGGAATGTGAAGTGTGGTACTATTTGTTTGTTTTGTCTGATATAATTTTGACCAGGGAGCAGAGATGCTTTGCATGCTTCTCTTTGTAACGGCCTCCTTAAAATGAGGCACTTGAAGAGCCCTCACAAATGGTGTCATTAGTTCCATCGGCGCGAGTGAGGGATTCGACTCAAACCGCGTATTCTCGGAAACGTACATGTGTCTTCGAGCCTCCGAGCTGTTGCATGTAAACATTTAAGAACACAAAGGCAACTCAAGGAAAGCTGTGTTGAGAAACAATGCCTTTTACAGCATAATGTGCCCACTGAATCTCCGCTCACATCCAGCATGCGCCTCCTGGGGACTGCTGAGTGTATTCTTGTGTTGTGACTAAAATGGCAAAAGGCACAAGGAGAGGAGGAATGGAGGAACCGCTTCGATACCATGGTGGTATTGGTAGGAGCAGAGTTTTTATGTTTTTATTTTGTTTGTTTGTTTTTCCCTGTCTATGTCCTAATGAAAACAGCTGGTCATAGAAATCCTGTTTACTTTGAACAATGAGGTGAATAAATTCACATCTTGACATTCTAGTCTATTCTTGCCCTGACCTCAAACCAAGACACAGTGACAACATGACTAGACACACCTATATTTTTATAAACACAAAGAAGGTTTAGGAATGGATCTCAACCTAGCATAAGTACTATTGCTGGTTTCGAGGCTAGGCTGTCTTTAGACTGTCATCCCTCTATTGTATATCTTTGTTTTGTGCTAATAAAATTTAACAACCTAAAAAAAATCTAAATTGGAAAACTTTCAAGAACTCCTAATTCACAGTAAACTAAAGTGGGTGACAGTGAAGCAAGAATCAAGGAGCGAACCGAGAAGGGAGTGCTGCCTATTTTGAACGAGTCATAAAAATTGCCAGAGTGAATACACTTTTTTTTTTTTTTTTTCCTATAGCTATAGTGTTGAATTTTGGCAGGAAAACCTCAAACTTTCTTACCAAGAATTCCAGCATTCCAATTATTTTTTTTTCCAAATTAAAATTCAGAAATTTCAGCTTCTGAGTGCAGAGAAGGAATAGTAAATCTGCATCTGTCAACCAATTAGACAGTTAATTAGAAAAAAAAAGATGTTTGCAATCTTCTACTGTGGTATTGTTGTAAAACATCTGTTATCACAGTGCTACTTGGAAGCCTCTTTGGTATTTGCAACAAAAAGTTTGAAAATAACTTATTTAAACCACATTTTACTTTTCAGCTCTTGTTTGCAACTTTTTGTAGAGGTTAGCCAGTTTGAGACATAGGTGATTCCAAACTGAGACATGTTTTTTTTTTTTTTTTTTACAGGCAAATTCTTGTATGCAAATGTGCAAAGCTGAGCTAGCGGTCCTGCTCAGATTGTGCTTGGCAGCAGGCCCACCAGACCCTCTGGTGGGGAGCTGGCAAAATGCCTCTCACTGCATCTCAATACCTTGTGCTCTGTATTGATTACAGCTTGAACCGCCTCTCTTTCCCCCATTGTCTTGCTCTTGGACACATGGGATTTGATATCATGTTTGATTTCTGTTTCCAAGCACCTGCTGTCTTCATCTTCATCATCCACATAGTTTAGATCTTGCTCTCAGGGGCCCCCCACTGCTGTCACAGTTTGACACTCCACCATTGCCACAAACAAACGTGCAACAGCGATACCAGCAGATATCAGCGTGGATGTTAAAAGCATTGAGTGAGATACACCTACAGAAATCCATACCAATCGTCTCATCCGGGGATCTTTGGTTTGTTGTTAAGGCGTGCGTATGCAGCAGAGTGGAGCCGGTCGTCATTGAGGCTCGGCAGCACTTTGTGTGGTCGCATAAGCTTTGATTGCTGTCCTTGCCCATAACATCTGCCGTGTATCAGTCAAGAAATGCGATGATAATGTGGGCTGACAGCAGAAGTGTCGGCTCCTTCTTTATGGCTCGATGTCAAATTTGGATCCTTGGCCCCACGTGAAAGTGCTTCAGGTTGGCTACTAAGAGCACACGGCTGGATTCAACCTCAACAAAGGCTGGTTTGCTTTTCAAACATGAGCCTATTCAGGATTTATGTTTCTTGTCTTTTATGCTGTTTTCACTTTCAGGCTGTCATTGCAATATTTTTTTTTTCTTATTGCAATAAATGAGAAAATAATTTAGTCTGTATTGAATGATTAGAATGTAAGCTACATTGTATAAATAAATGAAATACTGAATATGTAAAGGTTGCAAAAAAAATAAAAAAAGAAAAAGTATGTTTGACCAGTGCAATTAAACAAATTATGCAAGCATACCGTACATACAAAAATGAATAGGCATTCCACAGTCTGTTGAAATGATTAAATTGGAAAAGCAGCGCTCATTCTTGTATCTGCAAGCAGCAGTCATAAACATTTACTCCTGGAGAGCCAGTGTGTGACAAAGAAGCATAAATTTGCCAATATGCAAGTCAAACCCCTTCGTGTTTTTTTTTTTTTTTTTTTTTTTTTTTTTGCCTTAAATGATTTCAGAGCAGTTTGGGTGAACAACCCAGAGGTTGAATGAGAAGTGTATGGCACACTGCACCTCTGAGAGCAGCCAACACTGACTGGGATGAAAGAGACCCTGCGCAGACAGATTTGCCTACTTATTCAAATTTCAAAGACAGCCTGAAAGAGGAACGCAATGAAACTTCCTTTATTGCTCTAATGCATGCTAACAAATGCACAAACATGCGCGCAGCAGCAGCGTGCACAGCTCCTAATGCACATGCACGTTTTCTTATTCCGACGCGCACGTTGGCACAAATAGAAGTAGATTGTTTCATTATTGCTAAATGAAACTTTCTCAAACCAGCGTTTGAAAGAAACACTGTAATTTCACATGAATTGGCAAAATCAGAATCAGCTTTTTCAGCATGAATCATCTGTTCATGTCCTGATGGCCCTCTGTGCAAAACAGTTTCCAATTTAACCTAACTCCCTCTGCCACATCGCAGTCATTGCCAACTGCAGCGAGGTGAAGTAGAAAGGGGAACAAAAAAGAGAAATTAATATTGTTAGGGATGTCGATGGTGGGCCCTGGGCGGGATATTGATGGAGGAAAGAAAGAAGAGCACTGCAACACTGGGGCAGGGATTGCTGTGGCGTACAGTAGCACAAATCCTAAATTCTGTGCTGATCCAATGGTAGCTAGGAAACAGCTGACAGTAAAATGGGGGGATCAAAGGGATTAGTGTGCCCAGTTTGAGCTGAAACAGTAACCCTTGCACTTCTATGACTGCCAGCTTTTTTTCTACATGCATTTCCTTTTATTTCAGATGTTTGTTTTTTGTGGAAAAAGGGGGAAAACAGGAGGTGTAGACAAAAAAAGAAAATGAACAAGTTAAAACAAAACTGGCACATTTAAACCATGTATGCAGATTAATATCCATACCATTGTCTAGAGAAGAAAAAGCTCACTTATTTGATGTTATTTGTTGCCTGTAAATTAAAATCAAATAATATTAAAAAATAATGATAACAACTTAAGTGTCAAATTTGGTGGTGACTATTATGTTATAAGGTGCATTGCTGCAGGAGGGACTGGTGCACTTCAGATAATGGATGGCATAATGAGGAAAGAAAATGTGTAAATGTTAAAGTATCTCCAAACATCATCCAGGAAGTTAAAGCTTGGGCACAAAGCTTAAATGGACAACTGGCCTCGGGGTAAACCCAAATTAGTGAGTGGTTTAAGACAAGAAAATGAATGTTCTGTCATGGCTTTTACAAAAGCCTCTTTTCGGTCCAATAGAAAATGTGTGGGCAAAGTGTATTTGTGTGTGAGCAAGACTGTCTTCAAATCTGACATCAGTTCTCAAAGGAGCAATGGTCCAAATTTTCCAGCAAGCCATTTTGAGAAGCTTGTGGAAGGACAATCAAAATATTTGTCCCAAGTCATACATTTTAAAAGTAACTTAAAATAAATACTAGTGAAATGCACACAGGCTTCTGACCTGGAATGAGGTAAAAATTATTTTATTTTGTGATTGTTTTGCCAGTAGAACAGTAAATGCTAT